TTTGGGTTTAGGGTTGGTGTGGCGTTCAGGGCTGTAGGGGTTCAGGTTTTGGCATTCTCGCCGAATACACAGTAAGCCAACAAAATACTAAGGAGACTGTAGGTGTTTTAACCTACTCGAACCGGTTTGGGGGGTCGTAGTATAAGCCGTTATACAGACTCTACGGCGGCCCTACCCTAAACGTAGGTAGGTGCAGGCAATATGGAGGTCGTAAGACTTGGGAAGACGATTCCATACGCAGTTCCTTCTTGTATTGAATATACGAATAGGCTCCATTGTAGTTCTGCTTTGGGAGTAGCTTATAGGATTCTATACATAAACCACAAAAAGGAGCTACCATGGAGCCTATGGGTATGCTACAGTATACCCCAAACCCTGTAGTTCTAACTAGCAAAGCCCCTCTATGAGAGATTCGTGTTAAGGGAACCCCTCTGCAGTTCGAGATTCGAGGATCAGAACTGACAACCCCTAACCTTCAAGCCTAAACCCTAAACCTTAGCCCTAAAAGCCCTACGCCCTAAACCTGAACTCCTTCAAAACCTAAACCCTAGCCCTAGAACCGCAAACCTAAACTCTAAACTCTAAACCCGAAACCTTCAATTCAAAGCCCTACGCCCTCAACCGCCAGGATAATTCGCAAATTCGGTCGGTGAATGCCGCTAGGCATCCTGAAGGCTGTGCTCCAGGATTCGTTACGGGGTTTAGGGTTTAGAGTTTAGGGTATGGGGTTCCGTAAGGCGTTTAAAGTCTTAAGATTCCCTTGAAAATTATTTGAACACTGAGTTTAGGATCTAAGGTTTAGGATTCAGGACTTCTTCGGGTTTATGCTTTGGGATTTGGGCTGAGGCACCCACCCTCAACCCCCCACCCTCCAATGCCAGTAGGGCGAGTCACCGACACTTATGCACAGTATGTTGGAGAGGCCATGCGTTTCCAAGGCGTGGTTACCTCCTAGCAAACTCCAAATCCCACTCAATGCAGCCATCTGCCGTAAATTCTGCAGGGATCCTTCACATGCTTTGCCGCTGGCCCTAACCCTTACCTGGACCCTAAAGAAGCTACATTTTTTGGGACTCCTTAATATGATTTCTTGATATTATAAGTCCCTAACCCCTAAAGCCCCCAACCAAAAGTGTCAAGCCCTCAAGGCCAGACAACCCCCACCCTGATGCGCTTCGGTTTAGGGTTTAGGGTTTTCCGAAAAATCGTAATGGTATGCCCCTCCAGCCGCCTCTCCACTACGTATTGCTAAGCTCTCCACTCTGAAAGTTACGGAACAACCGCGGCTTGCGCTTCAGAGTTTAGGAGCCTGAGACCACAAAGAAGCAGCCCCAAACCCTACACCCAGCAAAATAAATGCCGCAAGCTCCACTGGCTGGTCCGTAAAGCCCAAACCAAAGCCCTAAACCCTGTAAACCCTAGCCCCATGGCTATTACGCCTTGAGGGCTCAATCCTCAATTCTTTCAATGAGATTGAATATATTTGCCCCGTAGCCTTGATCAAGCCAAGTTTGGAATTTAAACTTCAGGAAATCAGGGACCCTTTTGTAGAGGTTTAGAGCTTAGGGTGTTGCCAGGAAAAGACCTGCAGTATGAGATGTGCAAAGACATGGACCCTCATATATTTAGGAACTTTCCTGCAGATACTGACATGTGTGTATGTATGTATATATATATAATATATATATATATATAGAGAGAGAGAGAGCTCTTATGTAAATATTTTATCGACGTGTGCATATATACTGGGGCCGCTAATGTTCTGAAGCTCTCATGACTGGCAGTGGATGTTGGACAAATCCCTTACTTTGAAGCCCTGCACCTGATGGATCACTAACAGTACTCCCTACAGCTCCATCTTATAACTAAGGGTTTAGGGTTTAGGGTTTATTCCTATTACAAGCCCAAAGACCGTATTTTTATCAGTAAGGGCCCCTCCCTATCTTGCACTGCTTCTCAGCTTAGGTAGGGGACGTGCTCCTCATGAAGGGCCAGAAGTTCCCCGAAGGTGCAACGGGCAGCTTGGCGGTCAGTAGGACAGAGTAAGGCCGTCAGCTGCGCCTTAGAGACGAAATGAAACCTTAAAGGGTTTAGGGTTCATATACCATATAGGGATTCATAGTATAGGGGTCCCTACTTTTAAGGGTCATTTGGTCCTTAAGGCAGGCCCTACAATCCCAAAGGGTCTTAGGTACTATTATTGGGGGATACTTGCCCAGATTTTAACAGCAATTCCCATCATAGAAACCCTACATTCTACTATATAGGTATTCAGGACCCTTTCGGAATTCGTCCGAATGCAGCACAGATTGACAGAACAGCTTTGGATCAGGCTTGCATGCATGCACTTTTCTGCTATTCTGCTGAAGCTGAGCAACAAGCACGACAAGCTGCACAAAGACTTCAGTGAAGTTTAAAGATACAGACCTGGGGACCTCGGAAACGCCCTGAACCCTAAACCTACCAATCCTAATCTACAGGCCTTACGTAATAATTACCAATAGTGTTCCCCAAGGTTCCTTAATATTAAATATGTATTTATAGGTTTGTCTCGTAGTTATATCATACGGGCACCTCCGAGACCCGAAATGTGCTACGACCATCTACGAACCCTAAGGGTCCAAGTATGTAGGTTATCTTTTTGGGAGAGAGTATCTGGTTATTGGCAACTATTGGGTGCTTGGAACCTTGGGGGAACTAGACACGGGGGCATATACCTAAACCCTAAAACCCTAAAACCCCAAACCCCCAAATCCCTGAACTCCGAGCCCTTTTTCCCTGAACCTATAGGGTCTTGGTGGTTACTTTGGGCGCCTTGAACATCTCGGCCTTGTAGAAGCAATGCCCACGACCCCAAAGGCCCAAATGAACCCTGAACCACGACTCGCTAAACTGCACATGGGTAATTCCAGACATTGGGTAGTTCTCCACATCAGGGTCCCTTTTTAGGGCTCCTTGAGAAGACCTTAAACCCTACTTTAGAGAATTATCCACGTGTGCAAGGCCTAGTGCACAAGTCGGCAGAGGTTCAGTACCACCAAGATGGCCCGGCATCTGTGCCTGCAGGGTTCAGGGGGAGGCTTGCGAATTATGGATTCGGGATTCGCGACTTTTGATACTTGTAGGGTTTAGTGTATTTGCCGTCGACAGTATTGCAGTCTGGCCGAATCTTGAAGAAGATGTCAAGACCAACGGAGGTTTCAGCGGTGCGAGATTTGGTTTAAGGGTGCTTTAGCCGACAATCACATCTTTCTCAGTCCTTACAGCCTGTTGAAGTCGAAATTCCCACCACCCCGATTTCCGAGCCCAAGTCGCAATTAGTGCTCCTGGTCCTTTATCGCTCTCTCTCCCCCGTTTGTCCGTCCCTCACTCTCCTGGTCTCTGCCTCCTCTCTCTCTCTTTCTCCGTGGCTTTCTCTCTAGAAACGCTCTAGTTCGCCAAGTATGCCAAGGGTCCTCGTACTTTGACATCCCCAAACTCACACCAGCAAGGTAGTGAACCGGCTGGTGCTGAAAGTGGACGTTCCAGGGCCCGAGCTCTAACCGCGTTCGGCATGAGTCAGTCTTCAGCCGCTAAATGCGGTTTGCCAGGCGAAGAGGGCCTTCAGAGCAATTTCTACACCGGGCAGGAAATCACATGTAGTATTGGTATTGATGGTATTCTGTACGTTTGTAGGGTTGCACATGATTGCGCAAAAGACGATCTTTGTCTGATCTCCTTCCCAGTTTCTGCATGATCGTGGCCGCACGGATTGCCAGCCAATGACTTGTCCAGAGATGCTGGCACGATCCGTGTCCCAAGGCCGTCAAGGGGTGGATTTCTTTTCGATGGCAGTGCAGTTCCGAAGGATTCCCGAGCACTGCACGTTTGTCTCAAGCTCAGACACCGGCTGCGGAATCCTAAAACCGACGCAACTCGCGTCAAAGCCAGGTTCAGGGAGCTCAAACCGGAAGCTGTACGCCTTACACCAAATGGGTTTCGGGCAGGATAGAGAAGCCTGAATATACAGTTTGATAATTACAAGTGTTTCTGTTCTAAATGTATATATGTGCACGTAACTACTTCTTTATTCACAAATACGAAACTATGATTCTGTTTGTAGCTGTATATACACATATATATATATACATATATATATATATAGACACTATTTCTGTGCCAGATGTACATACAGTACTGCAGTACATCAGACAGACAAAGAGACCGACGGACAGACAGACTGACAGACAGACAGACAGACAGACAGACAGATATACAGGCGGACATCCAGAAACACAGACATGCATAGTTACATACCTATGTACATACATGTGTACATACATCCATCCATGCATGCATGCAGCAATGCAAGCATACAGACTTATCCAGTCACACATATGCATAAAGTTCACATATGCTGACTCATATGCGTCTACGTATACACATACTTATACAGACACATATAAAAGCACCTTTACTAGATAAGCCATATGCAGTTTCACATACGCGCATACCATACACGTACACAGACATGCACAGGTAAGTAGGTAAGCGCATGGTCGTGCTTAGGCGGGTCCCCCCCATTGTGATTCACTCAGAGGGTCTATCCATACTGCCGCTATGGAATCGGATCCCAAAAGACCAGCCCTATTAGGGTTTTGTGGCCCTAATTCCGTAAAGGTAGTATATATGTATCCTCTTGGTCAGAACATCTAGAATGCGCAACTCACCACGCCGTAGCTTGTTCTCTGACACGCCAGCCCCACTTCGCCTACGTCCCGGTCCCCAGCCGTGCTTCAAAGGTTTTGAGCTTAGGGTTCCTATAATGGTTTAGCTCGAGAGCTTCGAACGTGAGAGGCCGCAACCTACAATACCTCTAAACCTTCTATGATTCTATGTAAGCCCCTGAGACGAACCTAACCCTGCCTGCAAGTGCAACCTCTTTTTTCTGATTTTTTTGCAGTCTGGCCCAAAGAAGAAGCCTCCCCTCTGGCATCCGTATTCAGCCGAGAGCGTGCGCAATGAGCTCCCTGAGAGCCGCCGTGATCGGCGTCGCGGCCTTCTGCGTTGCCAGCGTTGCTTACGAGGCTGGCGTAGTTTTGCTCAGGTTTCTCTGAAGGGATTCTGGTTTCGGGGTTACTACAAAGGTTACTGAAAGTGAGAAGGGTCCAGGGTATCGGGTTTGTAAGGGTTCCTTCTCGTTTTGGGTTGCTTTGAATAGAGTATTGGTAAGCGTTCGTTTGAGGTTGTCTTGTTGGGGTTGTGCTCTGTGAATAAATGCCTGCTTCATGTCATGTAGCGTCGTATAGTCGTGCAGCTGGTCTTCTAGGAAGGGTTGTTCTGGGTTAGTGTTTTCAATTCGGTTGATCGTAGTCAGTAGGAGAGCTCTTGCAATTGGGTTCAGTGTGGACTGCACCTTTGGGAGCTAGCGAACGGCTGTCGTTCAACGAAAGCTGTGGCTTCACTCTTCCGATGGGGATCATGGCCTACTTACGTCTTGTCTTGTTTCGTTTCCTTCAGCAGGATTGCGCGGTTGTCACTGCAAATACCTGTTCGGTGTACCATGTCCTATAGAGGCTTTAACCTTCCTAAACCCTAAACCCTCATTCTTCTGGTTTACCCTTCGACAAACCCTCAGGGTCCATGTGCCCAAACAGTAGAAACTAGATTGGCCTTAAAGTAGTCCCTGTATAGGTACTTTGGGCCCAAAGTATACTCCAGTTGGGTACATGGACCCTTCCTTTCAAGGGAAAGGTACCTGGGGCTAAACCCTAAACCCTAAAACCCTAAACCCTAAAACCCTAAACCCTAAAACCCTAAAGCCTAAAGCCCTAAACCCTAAACCCTAAACCCTAAAACCCTAAAAACCCCAAGGGCTACCTGGGTTCTCTCTGGAGAGGCCTTCGTGTCGCCTGCGGCTCGCCCCGCACCTCTCGTCGCCGCTAAGTCGGCGGCGTCCTCGGCACCACCCGCTGCAGCCGCTGGTATCTTGGACTACTTGAGGGTTCTATCTGGCTTTGATAAAGACCCTATCAGGGTTAGGGTTTGGGCTTAGAGTTTCTCTATCTGGGTTTTATAGGGATCCTTTCAGCTTTCCAGCTCCCCAAGGTTTCTGTGGTCAACCTAAGGTTCGAGGCTTTTAGGGATAGGGCTTGGGCGTCTGGGGGTCAGGCATTGAGGGATTAGGGTTTCAGGGTCAGAAGCCCGATGGGCTAGTATGCTATGGAAACCCTAAGCTCGATTACAGTATGTAGTGACAGTCCCCAAGCCCTAAACCCTACACCCTACACCTTATATTACCTAGACCCTCCATCTGCCCTCTATTAGATCCTAAATATCCTTAACTTGGGGAACAGATGCCCCTGTTTGAGGGTGCTTGGAGGGTCCGGGTATGTAGTGACAGTAGATTTCCTTTGTGGCTGACTGGGCTTCGCTAGGACTATTGGCCTGGTCCTGTCCATTCAACACAAAGCGACCTTCTCAACGCTGGGAATTCCCGCAAGTAAGTACGCATTCATCAAGGTCTGCTGCTGAAAGTGGAGCCAGGAAAGCGAAGCATGTTACGGGTGTTCCTTGATTTGCGAGTTATTTGGAAGTTCAGACATGCGGGACCTAACTATAGATCCTAGGCTAAACAGCAAGCAAGGTGCCACCAATTTTAATGTAAGCCTTTATGAAGCCATCAGAAATGGCACCGCAAACCTGCCTGCAATCCGTATGAAGTCCCACAAAAAGGCACGTCCAAGACGAGGAAGCTGCCATTTTGGGGGTGATCCCTAAACCCTAAACCATACACCCTAAGCCCTAAACCCTAAACCCTGGGATTGTTGAGTGCCAGGTTGGGGCCTGGCTGCTGCAGGACTTGCTGTGCCTTGGATGGTGCTGACAGAGTTTCATATTTTCTGCTATAAGGGGTTTAGGGCTTTAGGGTTCTATGAGGGCTTTGACAGGCTCTTTGAGACTTTGGGGTTCTGGACGTGTTTTGGGCTCTGGTTCCTTGTATATACATATATATATATACATATATATACATATATATATATATATATACATAGAGAGAGGGTATTATGTATTATATCGTGTTTCGGGCTGCCGGCTTTAGGATGAATAGCACACAGATCGTGCTGATGCATAAGCCCCCAAAGTAGGTAACATAATGGACCAACCTCTACAAAAGGCTGTGATCCTGCGTGCAACTTGGAAAGCTACTGACTGGCAGCTCGCCGTCGGTGTTGAAACGTGTTTGAGCCAGGGTCTGAGGTTTCGAGCGGTGCCGATTGGGGCTAGTGAGCATTTCTTGCCATCTTGGTCTTCATGTCTGCCCTTAAAAGCCTTAAAATTGAAAGAAGCCCAAAAAAGCCTACAGACAGCCGGGCCCAAGAGAAAGTCGATCCGCAATCCCTGGACGAGGGCCAAAACAACCGGGGAGCTACTGTTGATGATATGCATCCTGCACTACCTTAAGGACCCTATACTATGGGAGTTCTGGTATTTTTCCTCATTATGGGTCAGCAGGATGTATATCATCAACCCTAAA